AAAGCACACAGTGACAGATACGACCTATATCACCTTCCACTACATCACAGATGATGCCCATTTCCAAAAGCATTTCCATATACTGATTTACCAATTAAGTTAACCACTTGCTATGTAAACTTATTAAATTAAATCATCCATATAGAAAGCCAGTGTCAAAAGGAAACCTAATATCAACCTTGTTGTCCTAGTTTTGCCTATAGGTGCAGAACGTAAGAAACAACAGTGCCTGGATGTGTTCCAACAAACCTGATGCTCTATCTCCTTTGGAATTAAATTTGTCTAAGTTGAAGCAGTGTAAGTCTGAAATACATCTGACTTCCTACGTTCCTTCTGCAAAGCAGTAAGACAAGAAAAAGACATATCCAAGTAGTTCAGCTACCAGAAAAGCTGCAAGATGATTTTGACCAGTGTCTGATTTCAAGCACCAGCCACAGCAAGCTTATTATGATATGAATTGGTATGATAAACATTCCTCTTAACTAAAACATCTCACCAAAATATACCAGTTTTAATAGCTGAGTTGCTTTAAAAACAGGAAGGTACCAAACAAACTGAATATATTCTAGCACCTAGCCACAATGAAGAAATTAAGTTAAAGATTGTTAATCAAATTAATAACCAGTGATTTACTCATGTTAGCTTCCACAATCACACATCAGCATTCTTCTCTGGCCACCAGATTCCTAAAATCCTGTTTGCAAATATACCAACAAAATTATTCTTCTGCTTCGTTGGAATTAAGACAAGACGCAAGCATATAACTGAATTGTATGGTGATGAAGTTCAATCTATCACAAGCAGAATAACTTTCAACTCATCATGAACACAGGTACAGCATTGGAAAGGCAGAATTTTTGCCCAGCTTCACTGCAGTATGAAAAATACAAATCCTGTATTTCACAGGATCTTTTATCTACCTGCTTCCATGCATCTTAGGCCCCTAAGCAATGACCACACAGACCAGTCAGCTTCTTTCGGTGCAAATAAACTGTCCAGTCCGTGCTCCTCTAGTACTCTTCTTCCACAGTAAAAAGTGCCTTTTCATTAACTTACTGTGTAAAACTGCTCTTTGATAAGCACAGTATTTGTACGAACATGCCTTGAACAGTTTCTACTATATAGCATCCTTAGTGTAAGAGGCAGAAAGATCATAAAGGCTATGCAGTAATTGTTATGCTAGAAGTCCATTTATTAGATGCTGCTACTCATTTTAAGATTTCTTAGTAATTTAACACCTTTACAACTACGATCTATCAGTGGGAACTTCTTAAATTCATTTCACATTCAATTATTGCATTTGTTCATTACAAATGCCAATCTGAAACAGAAAGCATCAGTACTGAGTTACAGGTTTTAAATTTACCACAAAAAACAAACCATCCAGAAAATGTTGGCCTTACAATTAAATTCTCTTAACTTCTAACACAATAGTAATTCTCTGAAGGACTTTTTGGAATTCAAGGATCCTAAATACTTTCTCCAAACAATGCCTACTTTTGTTCTTTTTCTCACATGCAAAAATTCAGTTATACCCTAGTCAAATCATTAAGATAAGAGAGCATAATGTACAGTTGAGTTTAAGAGTTAAGAGGCTTTCAGAGGTCCTTTTGCAGACAAGAGCATAACTGCTAAGAGGCCATTCTAATGTAAAATCCACACTGCAATCACACTATCACTGACTCAACTATTACACTGAGGTGTATGCATAACTACTTATTTTCTGATATTACAAAGCTGTACAACCTGAGAAATAAAACTTTCAAAGTTCTTGTTTACTACTACACAATGAAAATGTGCAAGACATTAGTAAATACCTAGTTATAAAAATAAATAGGCAATATGCCCATTTAGGCTGCACATTATGAAACAGAAAGACAAGTAATACATACACAGGGAAATTTTACACTTATTTTAAATCCCTAATACCAGCATTGTAATCAGTCATTTTCTATCCCCTTGCAAGACAGTACTGCACTTGGAAAAAATGCCCATTACTATCTAGAAAAGCAGAGGGCAATGTAAATAAATTATATACTCCACTCAAATTAGCATGCATTAGTACTTTGTTAACACTGGAAGAAACTTTTTTAGATAATTATGGGAAAGCTCTAGCCAAACAAGCCCAAGCTATGAACCTGATCCAATAAACTGCAAAGCCTGTCCATAAAGCTTCAATTTCTTGGTGACCAAGTAGTTTGCCTATGTCTTGAAAGATATCTGATTAAAGAACTCAAAATTTAGATAAAATACAAGCATGTAGTTTGTCAAAGATGCCAGCTAAAAAGCCAGTAGCTCGGTTAAAGAACCTGATCCTCCTTTTAAAGAGTTTATAGCCTTTGTAAGGCCTTGTTCAAACTCTCAGCCAGGAGTATAATAATGCTATATTTGTCTTAATACTACAGTAGTGAAAACGTGAGGTCAGCAAAGTTCAGCCATCCACATCTATGCCAGTAAATGGCCCAAGAAACCTACTGAATGTAAACCAAAACACCAGAGTTCAACACTAGAAAAGCTCACATACATCAAGACGAAATCTAATTTATGCTACAATTCTTTACATACTCCAAGATGCAAACACATTTCACCACTTATGATGACAGGGAAAAGTGCTTTTTAAATAACTCCTGTAATATTTGAACAGCATAGCCTGTATAAACATAACAGATCTGATACTGAAGAACAGAAGTGTACCATATTACATGCTTGATCACACATTGTATTCTGCGTGATTGTTTGCTAAGTGCAGAATCTACAGAACTGTTTCTTCTGTATCCTAAGAAAAGAGAAGAACTTCTACACCATACCACAGTCAACTGAAGCTTAACTATCCAAATTAGTACCAGGCAGCTACAATTTCAAGCCTCCCCTGCCAAAACATTGTAATTCCTATAACTTGCCATACTGTTAAAGGTGTCAAAATACTAAATAAAATGTATTGGTGGAAGAGTCATCAGTTAAACACTGTTCTTTGATGCAGAATTCTCCACACCCTTGGAAGAACACAGAATACATTATTCCCAGAATTGGAAAACATCTTCCAAGTTCTATTTATTTGATACCTATCACAGAAATCCAAACTAGCAACTGTGTTTAATCAAATTACAAGCATAACGCCAATTCACAAAACTAGAAAATACTAAACCAGAATGAAACACGCTAGAAAAACAGCATGTGTTAATTTGTAGTTGGTTAAAATGCGCAAAAACCTGCAGCCTTCACTACATGAAACCAACTTTCATTATTACAGTATTGTTTCTCTTTTTCCTTCTAGTGTAAGATGAACAATCCAGTACTTTGAGATCCACTCATCAGCAACAGGTAACCAAAACTTTCTGACTTTAAGACACAAGACAAAATATTGATAAATTATTTCTTCCAAAGATGCTTTGTGGGAGGCATCTCTTGACTGCCCACTTTGGCCCCTCTACTGAAAGCATTGCTGAACAAGAAAGGCAGAAAAGCACAGCCAGCTCTGTCTACTGCACTATACACAAAATTATTAGCTAACATGGCAAAGTGCTAAGTAACTACAGACCACTCATGTCATACCTGCGTCGTGCTCATATTTTGAAAGATAAGATTATTTATTATTTCAGTGTGTTCTAATATATAAAATATCAACATCCACAACCTTTACTCAGCAATCCAAATTAAACAAATCACACAAAGCAAGCTCCAGTAAAAGAGAAAAAGAAGGAAGAGATCAAATCTCTGAAGGTCATCGCTTCCCACAGATAAATTAGCTAACACACACATTCTTCCCTTTTTCTTTGCAAATTTTCAACCACGCTAACTATGGGACAACAAGCATTTGAGGAAGAATTAACTCCGAGAATTTTTTTTAAACAGTTAATAACAAGAAAATAACTTTGTCCACAGAAAGGCATGCACAAAAAGTCACAACATTTTTCTTGAGGCTGATCTGAAAAACATGAAGTAATATATCTGAAAGCAGTTGTCAGATACAAAAGTTTTCAAACTAAAAAAATACAAGATAAGCATTCACATTATGAAGTACTAGCTGCCATTTTTTAGGAATCATTCAATAAAAACACTTTATTGACAAAATCTGAAGAAAATTATTATTAGCTCCTGTAACCTCCTGTTTGCATACCCTGTTTTGCAAAATAAAGATGTTTGTACTACCATCTCTGCAAGAGCTGAAAAGGAAACTAGTAGGAAACCATGTCTTAATCTACAATAGTGTAAGCAGCAATTTTATCTGCAACACAGGTAAACACACCAGGGTATATTCACTTCTGCATTTTCTTATATCATTTTTAAAGCTTTTAGCATAATCTCTAAGTAGGTACCATGCAACTCCCCATATTGTTTGACAAAGTTAATTCAAAGATGCAAGATACTACATGAATGCGTGGCCCATGATTAGCTATAGGAATTACTTTTAGGTAATTGAAAACATAAAAGCACAGTCTGTATGTTCAACTATTACCAAGCATGCAAACAGTTAATTCTCAATGTAATTTGTTTTTGCGCAGTTATGTTTGAATTATTCCTTTAATCACAGTAAATGTGCAGGCAAATTATATCTGTTTATTTTATGTACCTGGTTTTGAAAGAGATCCTATCTACCACAAATTCCAAATCTGTCAATTAGATTATTTGGTTGTATTAACTCATAAAAGAAATATATGGGAGACAGAGTTTTGTATTTGTGAGACGAGGTCAAATCTCATACTTAGGTATGCATTCCTCAGACATCCACCATTATCAGGAAGAATCAATTAAGCTTTAATATGTTAGGAGCATTGACGATGTTAATAGACTATAAAGACTTAAGAAACCAGGAATCCGGGTAGGTAACCATATTCTGAAGCTCCTGAAACCACCTCAATTTTACTGTAAAGCTCCGAGTAGTTTGCAAACTTCATTTCTAGTTTGCATTTTTGTGTTTGATACTAGACTTAGAGAAAAAATATTGCAAAAATATAAAAATGGCCTGATTCGAACCCATAAATATTGAACTGAAAAATTACCTGAATTCATTCCACAGATATTCTTCTCCCACACCAGGCTGACAGCATGAAAAACATCTTTAAATAACTGATCTAGGACAAAGGACAAGAAGAAAAAAACAGATAGAAAAAGTACTTTTCTTATTTTTATTTGCAACCCATTGTCACAGGAGAGAGTGGAAGGCTTAGACAAGTTATTAAAAAAGCCCTGCCGTACAGTCAGGAGGTACAGAAAGGACTCCCTTGCTTTCTAAACTTCTTCTCAGAGAAGGGTTTAGGTGCAGCTTAATCAATCCTACCTTAGCCTCAGACTGTGTCAACGGTTTCAATTTAAAGAATTACAGAGGTCTGATTAAATCATTTTGTCCTATAGGTTTTTAATAATGGCAAAACAGATATATTTATATAATATGAATTATTTACTATGACAACTGAACAGACAAAAGATCTTAATCAAAATTATGTATTACACAGCGTAAAGCTAAAAACCTTCTAGAAGGGTATGATATAACATAAAGAGGTATAGGGCACTGTACCAAGGCAATTATATTAAAGCAACTGTATCAAAGCTAGCAAAAGAAACAACCATTAAGTAGAGATTGATATAATTCACAATACAAGATAGCTGGCAGATCTCTCTTAATCCCTGGGGAGTAACCATGAAGATGCGTCCCTGCTTCAGGGGAAAAGCTCCACAGTTCAAGAAAGTATGTGGAAGAGTCTGCCACGTGAAAGTTGGACTGGGCTTTTATAGTTATAAAGTGATGGACTGGTAGTCACAGATTTACAGGCCAGTGACCAGCTTATCTGCCAAATCCTGCTTCAAAAACCAGGATGTGTATCTGAAGCCTGGTGAACCTGGTTGGCTTTAGCATAATTCAACACCAAGACAGCACCCTGGCTCCAGCAGTAGAACTTGCATGATGGCCTGCATAATGGCCTGCACGATGGGTTGCATAATGCCTTGCATTGTGAGCATTGTCTGATCGGATTCTAGGCCTTATCGGGCAGGCTGCCCTGCCCCACCCACGTTTCTTTTTAATTCAATCGCACGTATGAAATCCACAGTCCTAGTCGGAAGGAGCCTGTCACAGGCTTCAGCAACAGCAAGTCAGATCTATCAAGTTTCCACAGCTGCTAACAGCAGACATCTAGTAAATAGTAAGTGTAGGAGTAGCTTATAAATTACTTTTCCAGAATACCATCTAATTCTTCAGCAACGTATATATCAAGGAGTCCTTAGGCGCAGTGGATATTACTCACATTTGGTGGAGTTTGATGATTTTTTTCCCCATAATTCTGAACCTTTGTAGGCCTTTAGTATCCAAAACATCTCATGACATAGCACTCTACAATCAACAATATGCTAGGTGATGTATCTTCCTCTGTATATTTTGAGTATTTCGCATTTTAGTTTTATCTGATACCTCATGTGCACACTGGGAACAGTTATCAAACTGCTTTCTGACTACACATGACTTACAGATCTCTACCATGGTCTCACGCAGTGAATCTCTTCCAAGCTGAAAAATTCTAGTCTCACCACAGAAAATCCATTCCACATTTCTGATCATCATTGTATCCTATTTCTGGATCTTTATCAGTTCCAGTAAATTATTTTTAGTCATGGGAAATGGATATTAAAGCTGCAAGCACTATTCAAGATGCACTATTCAAGATTCATGAATTCACACAATGGTGTAACAATATTATCAAATCTGGGTGCAGCGCTCACAGAGTCTGGACAGTGGTTTGGCCCAGCTCTCAGTTTTCAAAAGGCTAATTTACAAGTATTCAAAAGTTCAGAAAAATATTCATTGCAAATACAGTCTGTAATATTCATGGGGATAGAAAATGCAGGTGGTGGCTGTGAATTGCTTCCTGATTAAGCACTTTCAAACAGTTCTACTAGGTCTGTCATTTCTGCCAATACACATTTCTCAAAAAAATCTCCCTAACATATGGCATGTAATTAACTGCTTTTGCAGGTCTCCTCCCAAAAGATACTGTTTTATCTTGGATTTCACAATTCCTTAACATCAAAATATATATATCCTTTTCAACCCAAGGTAATGCCATGAAGCTGCATCAGGGGAGGTGGCTGGGCACTGGAACAGGCTCCCGGGGGAAGTGGCCACAGCACCAAGCCTTGCAGAGTTCAAGGAGCTTTTAGACAATGCTCTCAGGCACATGGTGTGATTCTTGGGGTGTCCTGTGCAGGGCCAGGAGTTGGACTCAATGATCCTTGTGGGTCCCCTCCAAATGAGGATATTCTATGATTCTACAATTCTGCAAAGATTTGTATATTTCAGTAAATTCAAAGGAGATTTCCACAGGGACAACAAAAGAACATTGTGAGTTTAGAAGTTTCCCCAACTCAAATATAAGCCATACCTACAGCCTTGAAGGCAACAAATCAGTTAGGAAAAAGCTTTTATTTTATTATTAATTAATAATTTCCCAAATTTTAGAGATTTTTACTGATGTCAGTTTTGAAATATTTATCATCACTGATTCAAATCAAATACTCCAAATACATCATTGAATCCAACCAAACATGAAGAGTTTGATTCCTAAAACCTAGAGTTTCTTGCACTTCTTTATTTCTATGCCTTTATTAATAGTGCAGTTAGCAGACTTCTACACATTTCCTCTATTTTAATTTTAAATCAAAATTACTCTTTTTTTTTCAAAACAGCTTATGATTATAAACAATTTATCCACCTCCAAAGCCATAGGTTCATTTACCATTTTAGCAACTTACACATTGTTTTAATCAAAGAAATAAACTGTGAAAATTAAACAAAACCTGTCTCAGCACAGTAATTTTTGTCATACAACATCTACCATGAATAGAAGTACTTATCTAGGTCTTCTTACAGACAAGCTACTGGCTAGTAACTGGCCTTTTAATTTTATCAGACAAAACCCAGCCGGAAATCACAGATCTAGTGAGCTAAATCCCAACAGCTCCCACTGAGTGACTCCACCTTTTACAGGCAGAAATGTCACAAAGGAACTGGAATGCATTTTGTTTATAAAATTTTCCCTTAATATCTGTATTTGAATTATCCTACCGTGTCTGAAAATCAGAAAATGAAACTGATTAGACACTGACATTTTTTCAATAATCAGTTTTCACAGAGATATGTTTTGAACTTTAAATCTTTCAATTTTAACATCTTAAATTTAGAATCTTGACAAGTTTTCAAATCCTTTTTTATTCATATTGTCCTCAGTTTTCAGGGTATACTGTCCCACAAATGTTAGATGTAAACAGAATTAAGGATAAAAATGAGTATTTGTATAACTCAGCAATATGACAAAGCCAACAACTCAATCACTATGTGCCAATCCACATTTTGAACAGATTGGAGGAAAGTGCAAGCCTACAGAAGAATTTTTTATGACACACACTGGCATCCAAGAAACCTGAAGTAAATACTAAGTTTTCATAAATCAAAACTACAATAAGAGTTTATAACACATTCTGGACTTTGGATGAGCAAATTCTTATTGACACCTTCATTACGTGATTTGATTACACAACAACTGCTATCCTGTAAGTAAAAAATACTGCACGTGTTCAAAATATCCTATGGGTCTGCCTGTGAACCTAAAAGAAAATCAAGAAAAGAACTCAACACATCGCTTGTTCATTTTGTGATATGAAATATCAAGCTATCAAATGACTATGGAGATTTTTTACTAGATAAGTACTAAAATCTTAACATTTCAGGACATCACTTTTTGAATGATTCCTGCAATCATTTAGGGAACTTGAAAATATCTTGTATTAACAGAATTACAGTAATACAGTTTCATGTGGACTAAAATTAAGTATTAGGGTGGGATTTTCTAATTTACACTGAGGATAGTAAGACAAAGATACGACCTTTATAAAACATATTTGACCAAAACTGTGAGAACACAGCTGCGCTGGGCAGGGCACGTCTCCAGGATGAAGGACCACCGCCTCCCTAAGATCCTGCTTTATGGTGAACTTGCCACCGGCTGCCGCAAGAGAGGAGCCCCGAAGAAACAATACAAGGACTCCCTGAAACAACATCTCAGCCTTGGCCATATTGATCAACATAACTGGTCTACTCTGGCCTCCAGTCGGGAGGCCTGGAGACAGTCCACCATCTATAATGCTGCTGTCTCCTTCGAGAACACACGCAGGATCACTCTCGAGGAGAAAAGGCAACGCAGAAAGAACTGTGTCTTGCAGAATACACCGTCTAAGGAGTCTTTCTGCTGTGCCTTTTGCAACTGGATATGTCTGTCTCGTATTGGCCTCATAAGCCACCAGCGTGCCTGTAACAAATGTGGATAGAGCCTTCCTAAATCTTCATTCGTGAAGCCCAGCCATGATGACCAAAACTGACACCACCACAAATCCCATTCACGTTCTGTTCAGCATCATGCTGATGAAACATATCCCATTCACGTTCTGTTCAGCATCATGCTGATGAAACATATCTTAGCAAAAGAAGCCTAAGAATAAAGTTAGTAAATAACTGAATTAACTGCAGAACTAAGAATGAGACCAATCTAGAGCTGTTTAAAGTCAGAAAGGCTTACATCTACTGAATTCAGTATTTTTTTAAAAAGTTGCATATAAAATCACATTTTTTACTAAGTACTGTGTCTCCTACTAACACTTTAGGAATACTCTAATAATTAGAAGTTGACAACATAATTTTCTGATTTGAATCACTGGTGACAGTGCACTCAGATTTTAGTGAAGAACTATTTAACTGATTTTTTAAAATCAGGTCAAGAGATACAAAATTCTGCATGCAATACTCATCAATAATTAAGGACTTAAACTTACAGGATTTTAATTTTTTCCCATTTCATCATATTTACCATTCAAAAAAAAAAAGGGACCAAAACAAATGACTTTTCAAAACCAATACTGACTAAAGATTTTTCCCTTATCTACATCCTAATCCAACAGCTCATGTCCACGTATTTGGATGATACCTATTGTTTCCTGGGTCAGTCCCTGGAAAGGCAATTGCTTTTATACACATCTGTATCTGCACTTAGTTAATAGAAAACCATCAGCTGCCAGCAATCAGTAGCACCA